TTGTAAATGTGTTGAAAGCCTTGTGAAATTTAAAAAAAGCTTTATAATATTTAGAATAAACTTTAATTTTTTCATTCCAAACTGTAATCAAACAATATGAGGTATTGTACATGGTATGATCAACCAAGTAGATCTCATTGGGGCTAGGTGGGGAGGAGTGTGGGGATTATTAAATCATGTTTAATGCATGTGGATTTACTGAGTGCATCAGAAAGTATTTAAGCACTAAGTTGAAATTTGTATGGAATTATGCACTTTATATGTGTTAATATGCTATATATCAAAATTAAATACTCAATATCTTTTTTTTATGTTAACTATAAACTTAAAGAATTAATAAATATATTTTATATAATCTATGAATTCAGTATATAGTATCTTTTTTGGTTTGACTTTTATCACAGTCTGTGCTTTTTGTGATACCATACTTTTGTTTCTGGCACCTTTACTCCAAGTAAGCAAATGAAGTAATTGAAGACTAGGACCTTGAGTGTACTTTCTTTCTGAGTGGGGGATCTGAATATCCCTGTCTGTCCTGTTCACCATATCTTGATATCGGATTTGTTTTGATACAGACAACCCTGTCTGATGGTCTGCAAGGTCCCGCATGTATGGCCAGCTGGGACTGTTTAATGTCACCGAGGAGAACTCCATATAGTTTTTTGACAATCAATAAAAAATGATTCATGTAGTATTTTATTTAGCTAAATCCCTTCAAGCTATCATCATCGTGTACAATAAAACGTACTCGTAAGGAGTTAATTAAGGGCTTCTACCCCTAATACAAACTAGAAATGTGTAAAGCGACTATTGAGCAGATAACCCGGTCCAGTTAACAAGTCTGCAAGATCAGAAATGCTTCGCAGTAGATTATGGTCTGGTTTGCGAGATTTGGAATTGAAAAATGTGTCTCGTTTTCTTTATGACAAAAATGATGACTATAATACATTTAGAAAGGAATTGAGGGCAATTGAAGAGGATCTTAAGCAATCAAGGCCATCTTCAAACCCTATCAAAAGTAATACTGAATGTAAAATTCAACCTTCTCCAGCGGTTTCAAATTCTAAAGGAGAGAAAGCTGATGTAGTAGAAGCTAAACAATATACCACCTCTGTTGAGAAAAGGGTTTTGAAGCAACTAGAAACACTTACCAAACAAATGCAGAGTATGGAAGTAAAACTGAGTGAGATGGATTCTGAGATTAAAGGATTGAAGAGTGATAGAAGAGTAAGATTTTATAACAATAGACCACGGTACAGAGATAGAGTAAAAGAAGCATCTGAAGAACAGAGGCCTGAAAAACCTATCGCAAAGGTTACTTTAAACGACAAGCGACCTCCATCGTAGGGCAGATGGTAGGTCATGATAGTACTTGTGATGGCCCTAGTTCTTCTCTGCCTCCTATTGTTTCAGATAATGAAACCAAGGTTATTGTCAATGGTATAGCTTTAACTGGTTTGATAGATACTGGTTCCATGATTTCTACTCTTAGTGAAACATGTTTTAAATCTTTAAATCCACAGCCAGTTATGCACAATTTGGGAGATTTTTGTTTGGAAATTACTGGAGCTGGTGGTAATAAAGTACCATATTTAGGTTATTCTTTACTGGAAATATCTTTTCCTGTTTCAGATTTTACCCCTGTTCCTGTTCCCATACTTATTGTTCCAGACACTAATTATTCTGTTATTGTGCCATTGATTGATAATAGGGACAAACATTTTGAATTTCTTGAAATCTTCAGGTATTGAGGATTTGTCTGTTCCTATCTCCAATGCCTTGGCTTCTCTGGCCTCAGGTCATACCATACCAGTTACAAGTTTTCATCAGAAACCTATTGTTGTAAAAGCATTTGAGACACGAATCCTCACAGGCAAAGTCAGGAATTTTGGTGTTATGGAATCTGGTGTTACAGAAAACAATGATGTTGTTTCACTGAATATCTGCCCGAGGTTAGTCAAAATTAAACCTGGCACTTCATTTGCAAGGATTCCTGTGAAAGTATGTAACTTGACAGCTAAACCAGTAACCATCTATCCTAGAATTTCACTTTGTAAACTTCAATAAGTTGCAGTTTTACGTTCTATTAATCCTTCGGAAGGAGAAATTGACAAGTCCCATAACTCAAACAAATCTTTGGAAGATCTTGGAATAAGTATTCCTACAGACACTTTGACATCAGATCAACAAGCTGAAGCAAGAACTTTCTTAGACAAGTGGAAACACATTTTCTCCTCAGGACTTACTGATCTTGGTTGTACGAATGTTGTTGAACATGAAATCAACTTAACTGACCCGACTCCCTTTAAAGACACATATAGACGTATTCCACCAGGTATGTTTGAAGAAGTACGGGAACATTTAAAGAGCATGGTTGAAGCTGGAGCTATTCGTGAATCTCATAGCCCTTTCTCTTCAAATGTTGTCTTAGTTCGAAAGAAAGATGGTTCATTGCGTTTTTGCATTGACTATCGAAAATTAAACAGTCGTACTGTTAAGGATGCTTATTCTCTTCCTCGGATTGACGAAACCATTGATTCACTTGCAGGATCGAAGTATTTTTCTAAGTTAGATCTACGTTCAGGGTTCTGGCAGGTCGCTATGAAGGAGGAAGATAAACAGAATACTGCATTTAATATAGGACCTCTTGGTTTTTGGGAATGTAATCGAATGGCTTTTGGGTTAACCAATGCGCCTGCAAATTTTCAACGCTTAATGGAACGTTGCATGGGTGAATTACATTTAAATGATTGTCTCATATATCTTGATGACATCATTATCTATTCGGACAATATAGATTCTCATTTTCAGCGTTTAGAATCAGTTTTTCTTCGTCTTTTCTTTCGTTTTTCAGAACCCATGTTCAATATCTTGGACATGTTGTTAGTTCTCAAGGTGTGGAGACTGATCCTGAGAAAATTAGAGCCCTGAAGGAATGGCCTGTTCCAACTTCTGTGAAAGAACTTAGAAAATTTCTAGGTTTTGCAGGTTATCATAGACGTTATATAGAGGGATTTTCTAAAATCGTTAAACCTCTGAATGATCTTTTAGTGGGTCACCCTACTAAAAAGAAATCAGTCAAATGTAAAACCTGTACACCGTGGAAATGGGAGAAAGAACAACAATAGGCATTTGATATATTGATCCAGAAATTGTCTTCTCCACCCATTTTAGCTTATGCTGATTATACCAAGCCTTTTTCTCTAAATATCGATGCTTGTTCAGGTGGGCTTGGTGCAGTTCTTTACCAAAACCAAGGAGCGAGTCGTTTCTTATGCCAGCAGAAGTATAAGGCCAAGTGAGTTGAACTATCCAGCACACAAGCTAGAGTTCTTGGCACTCAAATGGGCAATATGTGACAAATTTCATGAGTATCTATATGGAAATTCTGTTACAGTCCGTACTGACAATAATCCCCTAACCTACGTTTTCTCTACTGCTAAATTAGACGCCATAAGTCATAGATGGTTAGCCGCATTATCAACCTATAACATCAATATTATATACAGGGCAGGAAAACATAACAATGATGCTGATGCACTATCTTGACTACTTTACCCTGATACTAGAAACACCATTCTTTTCTCAGATGCAGTTAAAGCTTTACTTCAAGCTCATTCAGAAGGTCAAGGTCAGATTCCAGCCATGGAATGTGTTTCCTTGACTCAGCAAGTTTTGGACTTGAATCCCAAAGATTAGACGTGCTTTGGTACTCACTTTAAAGCTGTCGATTGGAAGCAAGAACAGAAGGGTGATCCTACACTTGCTCGTGTGATACAGCTTTTACAAGCTGGTCATAGACTTACGGATCGACAAAAGTCACTTGAACCTGAATCTGTGAGAAAATATCTCAAAGAATGGAGTAATTTGTATTTACAGAATGACGTCTTGTATCGTAAAGGCACATCTAATGGGTACCCTGTTGTTCAACTTGTGTTACCAGATCATTTTCAGGATGTTGTTTTTACAGGTCTTCATGATGAAGCCGGTCATCAAGGCTGTGCACGTTACTGTTGTCCTTATCAGATCAAAGATTCTTCTGGCCTCAATTGGAACAATCTATAGAACATCGTATTCGTCATTGCCCTCGTTGTATGTGTCGAAAGACTTTGGATAAGACTTCTGCCAAACTTGTACCTAGTCATTCTAGTTATCCTATGGATTTGGTATGTATGGATTTTTTGTCATTAGAAATGTCAAAAGGAGGCTTTGAAAATATTTTGATAATTACCGATCACTTCACTCGTTTCGCACAAGCAATACCAGCTAAGAATGTAACGGCTCATACCACTGCAAAACTTCTATTTGAAAATTTCATTTGTCATTATGGATTTCCGAGTCGTTTTCATAGTGACCAGGGTAGAAATTTTGAAAGTGAGGTTATTCTTGAATTGTGTAATATTGCACATATAGAAAAGACTAGAACTACCCCATATCACCGGCAAGGAAACGGAATGCCTGAACGTTTTAACGAAACGTTGATGAACATGCTTGGCACTCTAGAAGAAGACAGAAAGTCCAATTGGAGAGCTCATGTCCCTGCACTTGTTCATGCGTATAATTCAACGCCACATTCAAGCACAGGTTATACACCCCATTTTTTAATGTTTGGACGTCATCCTCGTCTAGCAATCGATGCATTTTTAGGTATCGAACCTAATCGTACTAAGCCAACAGATAAGTCCACATATGTATCTGGATTACGTAGCAGACTTAACTTTGCTTATAAGGCAGCTAGTCGTGAAGCTCGTAAACAAGGTCAAAGACATAAGAAATGGTATGATCTGCAGGTCAGGGAAGCCAAGGTTGAAATTGGAGATAGGGTTCTTGTTCGGAATGTTGGAATAAGGGGTAAAGCAAAGTTGGCTGATAGATGGGAGAAAAATGTTTATGTGGTGGTCAGTCAACCTACGTCCGATATCCCTATATTTGAAGTTAAACGGGAGCATGGTAAGGGAAAACATAGACTCCTTCACAGGAATCTCTTACTCCCATTGACAGGTATTTCGATATCAAAGCGTAAAGCTTGTGACCCTGAAATCTCGGTTGATCATAAGAGTGGTTCAGATACATTTCCTGGTCTATGTCCTAATAATCATCCTGATACTTTTACACCAACCATCCCTAATACTGATAATTCTGTTCAACAAAATGTTGATTCTTCTATTTCAGACTCATCAGGTAAATATATTATACCAGCACGTCGGAATAGTCAATCAAAAGCTGATGGGAAGTTGTCGGACCAGAATAGTACTGATAAGCAAAAGCAGCTGCCATGTCAGTCTGATGAATCATTTAGGAGACAAAGAAGAAATAGGGCCCAGCCTGCATGGATGAGGAATAGTTCATGGCAATTCAACTGATTCTTAATACTTTTTATAGTATATCAGTTGTAACATATTCATGAATTTGACAATTTTGTTTTAAATGTAAAACATACGTTTGATTTTATAACAATTGAGTTTTCTATCTTTTGTAGAAATCTTAAATAAAGCAAATATTTCAAATATTTATTATCCAACATTTTATTTACTTTGTTCCCCTTTAAGTTTTGTTCATTAGTTGAACAATTTGGAAAGAAACATTTTAGTACAAATGTACTAATGATGTACTATTGGGTACTAATGTAATCTTTTATCTATTACATATAGATGTGTTTATTTGAATTATATTGGAGTGCACACCTATAATTCAAATATAAATACTTTACAGTATTATATTATCCTCAATTGTGATTAAAGATATGGTTTAATCATGTGTACAGTCATCGGGCAGCTTTGTTTGATGCCTTACAGTTCAGCAAGAGCCCTTATGTACTTAATAAGAATTTGAAGTGCCTTTATTACATATTGAGTTAATTTCATTTCATAGTAAATTTGGATTGTAAATTTTAAAGCACTTCTGTTATTTCTTCAGCTTTACTTAACGGTAATGTCATAAATTATTTAAATGTCGGGACGACATTTCCCGAAGTGGGAAGTATGTCACGAGGTAATATACCGACATGTATAATTTATTGTTTGTATGTATGTCTTATATATTGTGTCGTTATATATTCCCTGTACGTTTGTCATTTTGTTATATATCATATATGTACATGTCCTATATATTTGTCCTATTCATCCCCCATATTTTTCTCATTTTCATTCATCCTTTTCATTCATTGCAACATGTAACACTTAATGTCATTCTATATAATTCATATCAACTAAATTCTTCTGGACGGGCCTCATAACATTTACTCACCCGGATTGGAAGTCACGCATGCTCACATTGAATACACTTCCAATGGTTTGCGCCACGAAGTAGCTGTGTTTGCGTTTTCTTTCATCTTAAGTAAATTGTTTATTTGTTTCCGTGCCATTACAGGTAATTTTGGTTGTAATTTATTACTCGTAATGTATTCATTCAATTATTGAAATGACATGCGTGTTGCATTTTGTATTTTGCACATTGAATAAATTTCCATTGGTTTGCGCCACGAAGTAGCTGTGTTTGCGTTTTCTTTCATCCTAAGTAAATTCTTTATTTTTTTCCGTGCCATTACAGGCCCAAATAGCCCCTCCTTTATTAGGAAAGAGGAACCCTACGACAGACACTTTTTATTTAGTTATCTTTCTCATTTTTTCTGACATGTCTATTTTTTTATTTTTCCAGTAGGACATATATTCCGGTTTCCATCAGTTATCTCTTTCTTAATAGGTGTCGCCTTTCCCGCACATTTTGATATTCATGCGCCTGTCGCGAATTTCATTACAGGTTACTACAAAACTTTCTTTGCCCTTGAGTACGGATACATCTGCATAGCTTATTTTCACTTTTATACCGTTGTTGCGTTCGGATAATTCAATGCGGATAATTTCCACGTCTACAAAGCTTCATAAACGTCCGTCAGGATCAAAATATTTAAGTCTTCTGAATTAAATCTAATTTTATCTCGTTTGGTAAGATGAAAATCAGAAGCGTTCACTCCGTTTTTCTTCGTGGTTTTACCACTTTGGCTAATAGGTTAGGAGTGTCTCAAACACTTATTCAACATTTTGGCGTTCCTGGAGAGTTACACCAGTAATAGCCTACCTTCCTCCGTGCTAAACTATACTGAAACAAAAAAGAAACTTTCTCCAACTTTGAATGTAGATATGTTAGTACAGTTTTTCAATCCTTTTGAGACTTGATTTTTACGTTGAATAAACATATCGGGCTTTTATACGGGGATTAGCTGACCGATTTTGCAAACAAGAAGGTTTTACAAGCTACTACATGTATATATGTGTGTACATCTAAGTGGTACCCTTGAACAACTGGCACATACTTTGCGAAAGTTTCTTTTTTGGTTCATTAAACCAAAGCATCTCCCGGGCATCGAACCCACGCCAGAGAGATAACTAGATTAGAAGTCATCGACTGTATTCCCTCGACCACAGAGGCGGTTACTGTATAAATTATATCTGGAATTGAATGATTAATCGTTTGTTCTTACTCAAATGTTTACAGTTTACTAATTTTATGTTTTGTTACTTTTCGTTGGGTTTATTGTATTTATCATTAATATTGAAATCTTATATCATTCAATTTAACTGTTATCTGCTTTGTAGATAATTTGTTTTATTTCTTTGTTTTGGTCACGTGATAAAATAATCACGCGTTTGTTGTCAGAGGCTGTATAGCAATTTCTTGGACTCGTTTGATTAAATTTGAAGTCATATATGACAACGAATGTGAGATTGTTTAAGATATAGACAACAAATACACTACTCCTGTAGCTTACAATATTAAAACATTTATAGCATAGTTTGATGATGGGACATAAATGTGCATTATATCATTGGCTATCCCCTGGGTCATATCATTTTTGTCTCCAGCGGACTGTAATACTCTATTTGCTTAGTTTACAACTAATGTCACTAAAACAAGTGGCTCACAAATTGACAGCAACAACACACAACTATTATGTAACTCAAACAACAAAGACAATGACACAAGAGTATACAAAAATACATATATTTTATCTTTACAATAGTGAAAAGGTATATAAATCAAATAGAAATAATAAATTTCATTAAATTTGGGTTGTTTACTGTCCGCGTGTATTTCATTTAACTTCTGTGTGTATTTCATTTGACTTAGTTATTAGCATTTCATCAACGTCTCATCCCTGTCGTTGCTACATGACAGCACATATCTTTGAGTGTCTGAAATAAACATTATTTTTTCATATGATTTAAGAAGCTCATTCGTATTCGGAAAACAATCTTTTAACCATAAATGCTTATAATCCGTTAATGGGTCATTTGACGGAGCTAAAGTTGTAATTTTTGACGCCTCTGACGCTTATATGATTTCAATTTAAATGTTTAAAAAAATCTAGACAACAAAGTGATCCCTTGAAAGCATTAATCACAACAAAATTACTAGAGAACCACAGACTCGGTTTGATTGAGTCTGTACATGAGGGAAAATAAATACGTGCAACATCCCTCACGCCCCCAGCACCGGCTTGAGCGGTACTCAATTCTCAACACTTAATAGTGCTGGGATCAATGATCCCGAAGGACCAGAAAAATATAACAACACTGAAATGAAGTATGGGGCAACTTTTTACAGTTGCCACACAGCACTGGATACCTACTGTTGTGAAGTATAAAAATCTGGAAACAAAGTGATCCCTCGCAAGCATTAATCACAACAAAATAACAAGAAAACTGCAGACTCAAACATCAAAAAGTGGTTGAATACATACGTACTTTAAATTAAACATAATCATAAGGCAAATTCTATTTTGAAACAAAAAAATGTATAGAATTTTTTACTTTTTGCTGTCGTCTACATCTGATGCCCACATATTCTCTTCTATGTGCTCTATTTTCGTTCGTAGTGTTTGAATTGTAACATCCGTACTATAATGATAATATTTAAAGATCAAAATCTTATTTCAAAGTTTAGTGAGGACCAAAATAAAATATGTTATCTTGAAATTCCAATAGAAAGAGGAAGGTTAAACCTTGATGGAGTAAACACGTAACTTGCCTCTGAATTAGTATTGTGGAGCTGATGAAATGGCTAAAATGTATTATTATGATTGATAAACGAACGCATAAGATCAATTTCATCTAACTATAAAAATACTACATGAAGAAATGCAACGTTGTGAACGTTATATTTGGTTTGATTTGGAATTACAACACCAACAACAATAATAATAATAATTACAATAATTATAATAAAATAATATCTTTATTTAAAGAAGGTTACACATTAAGAACATAAAATATCAACCATTTATATCTTATTTCCAATGTGGCATTTTGAAATAGAAAACAACAGCAACAGGACATGCATAGGTAGAAAAATGAATGTATAATATGTATTTTTTAGAATAATACAACTCATATACTTTCGACAGACACTCAACAATTTGTTTAAACATATACGCATATTGCATCATTCGCTCGTTCGTTCGTTCATTTATTCATTCATTCATTTATTTATTCGTTCATTCAGTCACTCATTTATTTATATGAACATCAAGATATGTTTTGTATTTTTCTTTAAAACATTTAAGGTTATTAACATTACGGATATTTAAAGGTATATTGTTCCAAATGTTCATGCCATAATAAAAAAATGTGTCTTTAATACAATTTGTTTTAGGTCTTGTCCCTAATGCAATATCTTTTCGTGACCTAGATCTTCAGTTACATTTTTTGTTCTTGGATAATGTCATCAGTTCTGTCATAAAAGTGGTGGCGATGTTATTTAAAGTTTTTAAAAGAAGCACCGCCGTGTTGTATTTACATCTGTTAAGGAACGGTAACCAGTAAAGAGCTTCTAATGGCTTTATTGACGATGATCTTTGTGGTTGCTGTAAAATGATTTTAGCAATTCGTTTTTGTAATTTACAAACATTATTTTTGTAAGTTGTGTTTCCTTTACCCCATATAATACAACAATAGTCCAAAATGAGCAAAATGCATTGTCAAACAATAATTTCATAATTATCAAAGTGCAAAAAAGAAACGAAATTTTTTCACTAGGCAATTTTTCCGTTAAGTTTTTTACAAACATTGTAAATTTGCAAGTGCCATTTTAAGTTGTTATCTATGCAAATACCCAGGACTTTTTGATCAGATACATTTTCAAGAACTATTTTATTTATCTTAAGATACACTTTTCTCATATTTACTTTTTGTCTTGTCCCTATTACCATACATTTTGATTTATCTGAATTTAAGGCCATATCATTTATTTTGCACCATTTCACAATGTTATCTTAATGATCTTGAAATTTTACTTCTACTTTTGATATATTTTCTCCGGACTCATAAAGAGTAGAATCGTCTGCGTATAAATAAATTTTTATATCATTACCAATGAAAGCTATTCCATTAATGTATATTAGAAATAATAAAGGTCCTAATATTGAGCCTTGTGGAACACCGGAAATTATTTTCATTATCTGAGATTGAAAATTACCTATTTTAACCAGTTGTATTCTGTTTGGAAAGATATGACTTAAAAAAAAATTACGGCATTTTCAGAAAAATGATAAAGCTTAAGTGTATGCAGAGGTATTTCATGATCAACCACCTCAAAGGCTTTCTTTAAAAATTTAAGAATACAGTCCCGATAATTTCCCCCCGCCATAAAATGGCTGGGGCATATCCGTCCTTTCGTGCTTCGTCCTTCGTCATGCCGTCATCATCAGTTTCCGTTTATTATCTTAGTAACGGTTGCACACATTCAACTCAAATTCTACATATAGATATATCAAAGGAAGATACAGGTGAAGTTAGAATTTGGTCATGGTCCGATGTTTTTTGACAGAGTTATGGCCCTTGATGAAATTTTCAGTTTCCGTTCATTATCTCCCCAATGGTATTACACATTCAACTCAAATTTGACATATGGTTACATCAAAGAAATGGGAAGGTCAACTTTGAATTTCGTCATGGTTCGATGAATTTTGGCAAAGTTATGCCCCTTTCACTTTGAAAATAATATGAAATTTTCAGTTTCCGTTCATTATCTCCCCAATGGTATTACACATTCAACTCGAATTTGACATATAGATACATCAAAGAAATTGGCAGGTCAACTTCGAATTTCGTCATGGTTCGATAATTTTTGGCAGAGTAATGCCCCTTTAACTTTGCAAAAAAAGGAAATTTACAATTTCCGCTCATTATCTCCCTAACAGTTGTATATATTTAACTTAAATTAAACATATCGATATGCCATAAGAATACACTTGTTAAGTTTGAATTTGGTCATGGTTTGACGATAGCTGACAGAGTTATCCCTCTTGAACTTTGAGAAAAATGCGGGAAATTTAAGTTTCCGTTCATTATCTCCCGAATGGTTGTTCACATTCAACTCAAATTCGTCAATTGATACATTTTAGGAATAAGCAGCTCAAGTTTGAATTTGGTCATGGTTCAATAATTTTGGACACAGTCATCTGTCTTGAATGTTGGAAAAAAATGAATATTCAGTTTCTGCACTCATACTTTTATAGAAGTGTATATGTAGTCATTATTTTGGCTACAACTATGCAATTCAGAAAAGGTTAACACTGAATAGTGTCAGTGCCTTGAACTTTGTATAAAAGAATAAAAATGGTTTGTGTTGACATTGAATAGTTTTAAGGGCTTAATTTTGAACTTAAAATGAAAAAGAAAAACAGCTTTCAAAACAAATTTGGAGCCTAATATTATAACATCTGAAATGTGGGTACATGTGGTGGCATCCGTGGCGTGACGACACATTTCTAGTTTTTCCACTGTCAACATCTTTTAACCAAGTATCTATTAAACTAATGAGTGCAGTATTACAAGAATGATTTTTTATTATGAATTATGTTCGTTTATTTCCAAAGAATGAGTGTATTTGTTTGGCAATATGGCGCTCAAATATTTTGGATATAGATGACAAAATTGATATCGGTCTATAATTATTTGCTTCACTCTTATCCCCCGATTTAAAAATAGGTTTTACTCTAGCTGTTGTTTTAATCATTTTGGAAAATATTAGCTTTAATACTTTTATTGATAATTGATGCAATTATTGGTGTAATATAATCTCCACAATATTTGATGATATTTGGTCAATTCCATCTAATCCTGTAGATTTCTAATATTCAGTTTTTCAATAATAAATTTTACTTTAAACGGTAATTAATTCAATGTCAAATTCATGATATATTAGCTTTTGGTCCAGAGTTACTTTCAAGTTTTAAAAATTTGTATTTGAAAACTTTGTCTTATGTATAACATTCGAGATATGGACAAAATACTTGTTTAATTCATTTATAATATTTAAATATCCGTAAATATCTTTATTACCTGTCATTATTTATTTTTTTCCTTAAAAATGCCGGGTCTTTGTTATTTTTAAAAGCATTGTTAAGGAAATCTCTTTTACTTTTTTAATCACTGATAATATTTCATTTCTGAGCAATTTGTATTGTTCATATTTCCCTACTTTATGATAGTAATCGCGTTCATGTATTAGCTATTTTATCTCATCAGTAAATCATTCCGGCCGGTGTTCCCGTTTGAAACGTTTTCCTTTTATTGGTGCATTTTTTTTTTCAATATGGTATTTCAAATGGAAAAAAATAAGCTAAGAGTTTCAATCGGATTGATTATGTAAATCAATGGTTTACTTGGAAGTCAGTGGTTGCTCTGAAATTCAATAGTAGACAAACCGACTATATTAATAACTACGAAGAATTTTTAAAAGCAATATGAAACTCAGACAAAGAGGAAATTCATACATTCCTTCTGATGTAGTATTTGTACTTTCAACATGTGTGACGCCTTTTAACGAAAGTATAAACATATTTCATATTTCAAAGAGCTGATAGTAAAGCTAAACGCATTACAGCTTTGTCATCTGAAAAAATTCAAATGAAAATCTTAACAAGAGATCTTAACAAGAGGGCCATGAAACCCCCATATATCGCTAACCTGACTATGAATGGTCTTAATGACAAGGAACATGTATTACTGTAAACTGTAAATAAAAGCAGATAAAATATTTCTCGCAATATTTATCTCGCAACGTTCATATATGTATCTGAAAAGTGCACATGTAAAACATTACTGGTTGCCATTTCCAAGGGAAACAATTGTTTCTAAAGATCCCACTTATTGCTATACAAAATCAATAGTTTCCTTGGAAGTCAGTAGTTGCTCTGAAATTCAATAGTAGATTCAATCGTTGCTATGGAAACCGGAAAGTTAAAATTTGCTATGGAAGTAAATGGTTGCTATGAAATAGAGAAAAACAGAATCCCTAAAAAAGCCCAACACGGTAAAATTGAAAATGTTGCAGGCTCGGTTTGATTGAGCCTGTTCATGGACGGTACTGGAAAGTGCAAGTTAACGTCATGAAAGTCAATATTTGGTATGAAAAGCAAATGGTTGCTATTGAAAGCCAATGGTTGCCATTGAAAGCCAATGTTTGCTACATATGTGTCTAGATTTGGAATGATTTTCAAGACGCGGCATCATTTTCGTTTAATAGATTATTTGCTAACTATTATGTTACTATCATATATGTATCGAAAGGTTCTGTCACGAAATAACACATATTGTTTAACTTTAGTTTCTTTTATCTTAATGTCGGTAAATTTAACATGTTAACATATTAAGTTGAAAGTTGGTACATAATACTTAGAGATTCATAAATACTAAGAAGTTTCTTATTATTTTGTTATTTTGGTTCGCAATCATATCTGTAAATTGTAAATATTGAAAAAAATAGAAAATCTGAATCACATTTCAGGACTCCTCTCATAGAATAAAACAGAAACTGGTAGATGACATAAACACACAGATGAAAAGATTAAACTTGTAGATAATATAAATATCTGGAAAAAAGTGATTCCTCGGGAGCATCAAAAACAGCAAAATTACATAACCATTTCAGACTCGGTTTGACTGAGTCTGTACATGAGGAATAATGTAAAAGTGCACCATCCCTTACGCCCCCAGCACCGGCTTAAGCGGTACTCAATCCTCAACGCTTAAAAATGCTGGAGCCAATGATCCCGAAGAACCCGAAAGTATTTGTCCTCTGAACAATGTTTTGAGGAAACAGCTTGCAAATAAATATTTTTTTAAAAAAAGACCATATATATAAACACATATAATAATTAACATCATAAAATAAAAATGTTGTCAGAAAATAATCAATGTTTATCTTTATAATGTCTGTTTTACGAACCAATGGTGTATTATTGGTAGTGCCTTATTTGCTAATACCTTTGCTACTCTATTGTAATATTTCATAGTCGCTTGTTTGCTTTTTACGAGTAAGTTAATTCAAGTTTTCAATATCAAAAGAATTTTGATAGACTAAAATTCAACAATTATTACCATATTATTATTTTCTTTATAAAATCCGGTTGTTATTACACCATGTGTAACTGGATATTCATTAATATTCATCATTTCAAAGACATTATGGCGTTATAGATGGAGCAATAAAATTGGACCTCGTTGCATTTAGTGCCACCTCTTTATTTAAATTTACACATTGTGGGTTTCCTTTTGTAATTTTGTTTTTAATATTATTCTGAGATTCTTCTGAAAATAAATATAATAATTACTACCTTTCTCATTGTATTCAACATTTTAATTTGCTTTTGATTTTGATAAAGTAACATTAATTTTTTTCTTTTTATAATACATTTCATGTCGATCCCTTTTTCTCTTTCTTTTATTTTTGACTGCATTTCATCAACATTACAAGAAAGGCATTGATGCAAAGCATCAAAGGGCGTCCAAGCAAGAAATGCAGCAAGTGAAGATAAACTAGTACACATATGATGACAAGATATTCTTATAAACTACCAGAAATGTATATAACTTATGAATGAGCGGACGAAAAACATTGTTCATTATGAACTTTGATTGGCATGCTAGAGATTAGAATATTACTTGTTATTTCTTTATGATCGTGGTTATTAATAGCAACGGATATACATGACTTTTATTGTATGCAATCATTTATAATCCATATGTGTAACGCATGATCAACACGTACCACACCTTTGTAATTGTCCCTTATTATGTTATCGCTATTAGCGAAGACCCCCTCTTAAGGTATCTGTTCACACTTGAAGTTAGTAAAAATATGACTCTGGTTATATTACCATGTTGATCATGTTGAGCATAATTGTTTATTATACACTAATTGTAATATCTATTAATCTTAATAAAAAAAATACAAATTTTATGAATATTGTTTTCATTTCTGTTTTGTGTTTTATGTGCTATTTTAATACTGAGTTTTTACTACTCTTTTTTTATTAAAATTGTAAAATAAATTTTAAGAATTGACCGACGATTATAAGTCAAAGCTTAACTGGAAAAAGTCAGTAAATTATGGTTTATCTTTCAATATATAATATTGTTTATTCTTAAACCATGTACATGTACATTTGTATTTTTCTTTATCATTTTTTAAATTATCAATCAATTGAATAATTCATAAAATCTACTTTGTAACTTTGAATAATTCCTCGGCATCTTTACTTAACACGGATAACAAATTAAATAAAATATTTCAAAGTTGATAATCTCATTTTAATACCATAAAAATGTACCTTTTTCTCAATTATTGTACATATCACGGATTTATATTATATATAAATCCGTGTACATATTTATTGTTTTTATCTCATATAGATAAAATGAAACATGCTATTGTTGTTGTTTTTTATCAAACATCTACTCCAAAACCGGAAGAGACCGGACAATAAACGTGTGGTACTATTCGCCGGTCACTAGTAAATCCCGGTCAAAATAGACCGGGAGAGACCGGTAATTACCGATAGGAGTGATAAATAGATATATCTATAAATAGATTTTTGAAATATTTAGGTCATCAAGTGATCATTCTAGGATACATGTACAACAATAACATACCATGATAACCCACTGTGTACTACACAAAATGATAAATAAAAAACCCCGAAGAGCGCGATTTATTGACGGAAAAGGTTATTTCATTTGAAAATGTTTGCATTGCGAAATTGTCCAGTTCGCTATTCATTGTAACATATCGCGACATTTCATTTTTAATTAATAATCAAGCACCCTCATACCGATCGGAATGATCGGCTTTTATTATGACCGACTAAAAGGCTCGAGAAGTTGCTGTCGCCCTTTCACAAAATCTGATTTCATTCCATAAGGGCGCCGCGCTTCGGCGCGGACGCCAATAATGACAAACAATTGTAGCCAAAATATATCTTTAGATATTAAATATTTTTTCTTACTCTTTTTTCTCATCTTCTCGCAGATTTACTTCATGGTCCAATTTCCTTTGTAAATTTTTCATTGTCCTGTAATTGCAAATAATAATCAATTATCATATAATTTTAAATGTCCATTGTTAGATTCTTTTAAGCATATGCCAAGTAAAATAAACAATGCATTAATCAGAATGTAAAAAGCACAATGATTTTTAAATACAATTAGTTGTAAAACTATCATCTAACAAGAGCACCGCAAAAGAGATACAATATACGCCTGAATGCTTATTTGTTAGAGTAATCAATCAGGATAGAGACCCAATCAAGAAACTTGTCTGAAAAATGTTCTATCTAAATTATCCTTACAATACAACATGACCTCGAAGTTGATGCATTTTAACCTAAATGTATGATTCAATTCTTGTAGAGGTCTTCTAGGCAATCCTTTATGTCAAATCTAGAGGCCTGTTATTGATACGCAAAAAGATGTGTTTTCCTGTACCTTAGTCCAGTTTAAGCAAGTGACTCCTAGAGCTGGGCCTATTTTGAATTAAGTGCCAAATATCTAAGCTCAGGTCTTTGTTATTCACACAAAAGACTTAGATGTGTTTTCATATCATCAAGTGACCCCGGGGCGCGCAAATTTTGACCCCAGGATTATGGTAAACATCAATTTTGCAAACTTTCACAAAGTATGCTACAATCATATCTTAGCTCTTGGCATGTAGTGTCACAAATTATGACTGAAATGTGCTTTTTCTCATACAAGGCAATATCAACGAAATGACCACAGAGGTAGGGCCAAAATTGACACAAGGGGCGTGATGAATACCAGTTTTGGAAAGGCCAACACGGCAATGATACATTTTGTTTTAATTTAGGCATTGCAGTTTAACGCAAATAAAAATTACATGCATTTAAAACATTTCTAGCTATCTAGATGATATCCTTAACATGAATAATCCTTATTATGATCAAATGTTTATCACAATATATCCATTTATATATCCAACTCTTCCGACATTATTACAATTTTTTTTTAGATTTAAACATTGTTATCATTAACAATAATGTAGAAACTTAAATACATCATTAAAGAGGTGATTATGAATTAAACTAACCACATTTAGATAGACATGTACCTCATGCAACATCATATGAGGTATATATTACCATTAATATAGCGTGCAGTCGTAGGCATGATTTAATGAACGCAATTTATTTGTTACTACAAGGCTATCGCTATCATAAATTAAGTAAATATTTATCTAGCTTCTCGTAATTCAGATCAAATCTTAAAATATAATTATTATTTAATTGTTATTTAAAAACTCTTTTACTATTAGATCTTAGCAAGCCTGATTTCTATGTAGAGATGTTTACAAGCTTCGTATGATTATGGCTGATGGTAATTTTTCTGCTGTCTTCACTAAAATATCAATCATTTTATCAAAAGAGGCTATGACCACAATATTTTAAAGCATACGCATGCTTAATGTTCAACCCTTTTTCACTTGGGGGCTATGCTTACCAGTTTTAATTATGCCCCAACAAAGCGGGGAGCATATAGCGTTGCACTTGTTCGTCCGTCCGTCTATCTGTAGGTACGTCACAAAATCTTGTGAACGCAACTCCTCTTAAACCTGATAACAGATTTTGCTTAAACTTCCAGGGACGATCAACCTTATGTGTAGATGGTAGTAAAGGAAGGAATTATCGCTGCGACCAAATTTAACAGAATTATGGCCCTTTGTTGATTTTTTTCACTGTATACTATGTAGAAAGTTTGTGAACGCAACTCCTCTTAAACCGGATGACAGATTTTGCTTAAACGTCAAAGGATGAACAACCTTAATGTGTAGATGGTAGTAAAGGAAGGAATTTTTGCTGCGACCAAAATTAACAGAATTATGGCCCTTTGTTGATTTTTACACTATATACCATATGGAAATTTTGCGAACGCAACTTCTCTTAAACCGGATGGCAGATTTTTCTGAAACTTAAATACAGATATGCATGCTCTTGTTTACAAGCACATCTGCACAGTTTGGGCATCCGTGTTCTTTGGACACAGTTCTAGTTGTTTCTGAGGGACCAAGTGGAAGACTATGATGGACAATTCGTAAAACATGTCAGGTAGACTTGTTTTGATTTTCGTCTTTTGTTTTGCTTTGTCGGACACTTATAGATGATTGTCATGTTGCTCTGGCTTCTTTTAAGGCATCGAGTACTTTTGATATGGTCATTTGGTGGTACCTTCATGTACATATTTACATGGTCAATTTGTGTTATTTATTACGTCTTATGGTACCATGACAATTGTTAGAATTTGACTTGGTCGGAATTCGTTTATTAACACTGTCTCTTCATATAGGAAGATATGTGTGTTAAGATTGAAGTTTTGTGAGACTTTAACCGATTTAAACTCATCGGTGGTGTTTTCACTACTGACCGTTATAGTGCGGTATTCCCAAGTGTTCCTTCACATGCCGGTTTCATGTTTAATTGTTTGCCCGTTTTGTGGCGCTCTATTTTGTTAAATTGTCGTTAACAGTAAATATTTTCTTCCCATTCCCCTTCTTGTCCTGTTTTGTTCCCTTATCTCCCCCATTTTATCCTTACACTCCTTGTCGTATTAATTTTCGTATCGACCCCTTTTAGTACTTATCAGTTTACTTATATACAACACATCCACCCCCTTCTTTCACCGTCCGTGTGTCCTCTCCCCATTTTCACTGGTGTGACAGTATTTTGTCGATGGACCGCGTTCAATGAACGTCGCCTTTTATCTTGATAATCTTAATTTTCATTTTTAAACGAGTTTTTCTACACAAAATATTTTAACTTAGTGACCAGGACAGGCAAGTGACATGACTTATACCAATTATTGTTTGGTCCACAAAGTTAAATGTCAAATATTTAAGCTCTTTGCATTGAAGTTTCACTACGTTAATCTCACATGTGTTTTTATCTAGACAAGTCAGTGAAAAAAAGAGAGAAAAATGGAATCCATAAAGAAAGCCCAACACGACAAAATTGAAAATCTTGCAGGCTCGGTTCGATTGAGCATGTTCATGGACGATAATGGAAAGTCGATTTACCGTGTACTCCCCTAGCACTGGCTTAAGCTTAATCAACATTTAACAAGAAAATGGCGAAATTTTGAATTTAGAAACATCCGCAGATGTGTTCATACGGGGGATATATCATGGAACCTTTAATTTAACACCGAAGTGCCATTCCATGAAAAGCGGCATATGGTCCCCAAGTTAAAGAATGATTGTGCCCAAAACGAGGAAACCATGGGCGGAATTAAATAAAAAGGAATTTTGAAAGGGTATCTGAGGTTATGAAAACAAGCAATCCTTGGCGCGGAATTATTTTTATCTCAGGAAGCAGGAACCTCCGTTCTGTTCACAATCTCATTTAAAGTAATATTTCTGCCAAACATTTTTAATTTCTTTCTATCATTTACAGAGAGGACACATAATTTTTAAATTCTGATCAAATTATTTGTATTCACTTCCAAACCATTTACAGTGTTTCTGTCTCTGGATCAAATATTTGAAAGTATTTTCATAGTCGTGTTGATATATACTACGAAGACACTGGGATATTTGGTAAACGAGGTGTTTGCGCTAAACAAATTTCTAACTAATTTTCTATCTGAAATGTATTTGTTAGCATTTGAAACTTTTTCCATGTAAAACAATTCATTAACATACATGTATTTGCCTTTATGAACAGCAACCTAAATAACGGGATTCTGAGTTGTGAAGAAAATAACATAAATAACCTTCTTTATTCTAATGAACCCTTCTGCAAGCATGATATTTTGCGCCCCAAATCTTGCTTTTGGTGTTGTTGTTTAACATCATAAAACAACCCATGTTTCGCTAACAGCCGCAACATTTGCAAAAGACCGTGCATCGTAATTAAGAAATATGTAAGCGCATTGCACCATCAAAGGGAATACATCTAGCCCAAATATTTCTAAATTTCAAATGTCGTTTGAGAATGGTATTAGCTGCTCCTAATCAGGTGCCAACAATAAGAGCTAATAATTTTGTGTAGAGGTGTACTTTTTTCTATAGGGGCGTCCGTGGCCGAGTGGTTATAGTCGTTGACTTCAAAGCACTTGCCCCTCACCGCCGTGGGTTCGAATCCCGACAGGGACTTTAGATTCTTTCATCTAAGGGAGCTATCCAGCTAGCGTCCGGAACGTCGGTGGTTCTACTCAGGCACCCGTTCGTGCCTGGAATAATGCAAGGGAGGGCACCTGAGGTCTTTCTCCACCAGTAAAGCTGGAACGTCGCGATATGACCTATACTGTGTCGATGTGACGTAAAACCCAAAACAAACAAACAAACATTTTTTTTCTACAGAAAACATATTGACAGACGTTGCTGTTTCTGCCGGACGTACATTGGATGCATATTCTGTCAAAATAAATTTTATTAAACCAACGAATAACTGTTGAGATATCTTTTTTGTCCATATAAGGAACATGTTTAATCACAAATGCCTTTTTACACTATGCCAAGGAAAACACGATTCTTATTTAGGGCAATAATTGAATCTTTGATCTTCTACCAAATATTTTGTATAATAGTTAACGACTAGACAATGTATAGCGAGCTATAAACACAGCTCAGGTGATCGGATTTTAATTATGTTGAAAGAATTAAATGCTTACATGTGTACATGTATATACCGCAACCTTCACTTCCTTGTGTTTTTCGCATGATTGAACACAATAAACTATAGATTCATTTATATTTAAACGCTACTCCAACGAAATGATCAAGGGTTTTCCTCTTATGCCTACAGTTTATCCCAAAGGACATAGCATAGGATGAAATATGTTAAATTTGTCCTCGGAAAATGGCATCATAGGGTCCTCATTATAACAAAGCAGAATCCTAATTTCTCTTATTACGGCAGGGAATCAAGATCTTACATCAGTGAAAATAGCATGATTCATGGACGTTGAAAGTCCAAGTAATTTAATCTCCCTTATCAACCATCGCCACTTGGTCTACTGTCTATGCTGTATTCAACCATCGAGCTTTCAGCAATTTTTTTCTCTCTAACACATTTGACTCTGGTACCCTTACATTGCAAAATCAAAATTATTTAAATCAAAGACAATTTATCAAATGACGATTGACTTTAAATGCCTCAGAACCGAACATATACGGCAAGATGTACAAACAAATAGACTACAAATGCATGGATGTACTGAGAAATAACTTTGTGACATAATTCTGTACAAGTTTTAAGTATAATTGTATTAAATTTGTGCCAGCTCCTTTTATCTGTGTTTTGAAACATTGGAAGGAAATTGAAACTTCTAGGAAGAAATGTTAAAATCTTTTCTTTGGCTCAATGGTTTACATCGTTGTTCTTCTTACGCGAGATGTCGTGAATTTGAATACTAGCCACGGTCTGGTCTTTTCCGACGCATTTGCTCTCTGTTGCTATAAATTCCGTATGTTGTGCATGCAAACGTCGTAAAGGGAATATTGACGGCCTCCGAATGTGAATTATCTTCATATTTAATCATATACATAGCGATGTTTTGTATTAAGTGACTATCGGAATGTGTAGGTTGCATGGTTTTTTGTAATCATATCACTTTTAATGTTCTGAAAATCCCAAAAAGGTGACGTGAATTATAAAGAATTATGTAGAGTATCATTTTGGAAAAAGACAGCATGTGGGAACCTTAGGAAATGGCTTATGGCAAACATATGTGGAATACTATTTGGCCTTTTATAAGTTTATAATAGTGGGACCGATTAAGTTATTTACTAGAAGGGCTCTACCAAATTATAAATGTTGGGATAATGTTAGCTGGAAAAGGTAGACTGTTATCATCAATATATTGTTGACCCCCTTTTGGCAATGAGGATTGATACCGTTAGTGGGTAAATCTCAACGCTCTAGCTTTGTACTTTCAAACAGGAGGTTTTTATAAATTTGCAATTTTTAAAACTCTTTTTCTGACCCTGTAACCTACTTATGCAACAACAAAACCATTTGAATACCTCTAAAAGAGGATAACCAAATAATTTTTCCTGTAAAGTTTGGTTACTATGCAGTTATTGGTTTTAGATGATATATTGTTAAACAGAATTGTTGACGAGGCACGACGACGGACGACGAACGATTGGGGATCACGAAAGCTCACCATGATCACATGATCACATTGTTATCAGGTGAACCAAAAATCTGGCATTTTTTTATAAAAAGTCCAACTTCAACTGACCAGTAATTGGGAATGCAGTTTCCCATACATAGTTTATTTATTCTCTTTTTCAAATTAATCACATAAGGTTCTCGACTTAAAACAATTTCTTTTGTATAGAATACAAAAGACCAAAACATACTTTTCAAATGGCAGTTGATAATAAATCAAACTTTATAAGATAACGTCCACATAAAATCTTAACATCATAACTTACATTTTGCTCTGTTTCTGTCCAATCTCCAGCTTTTTCTCCAGCTTTTTTATCCTTGCTTCATTTTGTTCATTTTGTTTCTGACGTTCCTTCTTTTCCTCTTCAATTTTGTGCTCGGCCTGTATTCTGAAAGTTTGTATAAACAGAATATTAGCATTTGAATACCGGCTGTCTGTCAATAGATAATGTTCTGTATGGTTAATATTTCGCTTTCATAATTTTTGAATTGCACAAAGCTGTTTGAAAGCCCACGTCGGTCTGTACAATTTTCCTTTAATATAGGGTAACGCTAACATTTAGTTAAGTTTATATAATGCAATGACGTCACGATTGCACCTATTGTTATTACGCTACAAAACACAAGACATACCTCCTAGGCTACGAGACTTGAAAGGACGGCAGCGGCTAGGACCTCAGTTCGAAACAAATAGACACTTTGAAAGAGCTTATTCTGGGCTGGATCATCCGAACAGATATAAAATCCTAGCAAATGATATTAAAAAGGCCCGCAGGCTTTAGGCAGTGTTAATTGAACTATTATGTTGAAGCATGTCAACTTTTTCTTTAAAGCTATTGACATGGAACTTCACAGGAATAATGTCCTAATGTGCACAAGTCTTATGTGTTATAATAATAGAGGGAGTTATAGACTTTTTCTAAACACTGGCTTCCACTATACAATACACAATTTTTAGGTTGTTTATGAAGCGATTATAGCTACCACGCTGTATGTGATACCGTATAAGTGGTTTTTTCTGCGGTGACTTTATTTCTGCGTTTTCTGCGGTCAGTTTCAGAACCGCAGAAATAAAAACCGCAGAATATTTATCCATGTTTTGTTTTTTAACGATATGTGTCCTACATTATGACATGTTTCCTCTAAAGTAATAACGACTAACGGATAATAACGGTAAGCGGGTCATCGAGTTATATGAAATTGCTTTCGGCTAAGTATGTAATATGTGCTTGTAAGGATGTACCTATTGTTAATTATGCCAATTTATGAATAAAGATATTTAAACATCATAGTGTTTGCCTGTACGCTAAAAGATTTGTTTACCACTAAATCATTAAAACCAGTTTAACCCTTATACTGCTAAATAATCTTCGTATACATTAATTGTTGCCTTATGTACGATAAACTTCTATCAATTTTATTAAATTAAAGGTACTACCGGAGTATATTTTTCACACGTCATTTCACGCTGATCAAAAGAATAATACCGTCTATTGTTGCGCATTATATTTGTTTGCAAGCAAACGATATAATTGTTTGTAATTACTATATAGTTTTGCGGTGACGACGATCAACAAAATGCAAATGTGTACATGCAAATAAAAAGGTAGAGTCATGTGACTTAGCTTTTGATAAGATGAGCCGTAAAATTTAAATCACGTTTTGTCCAAAGAATATGCCGCAGAAATAAAGTCCGCAGAAATAAAAACATGCCAAAATTTGGAAAAAACGCAGAATTTGGAGCCCGCAGAAAATACCACTTATACGGTAATGACTTATTGACATTCAATCATCAAAGAAACGTTTGCAAGGGAGGAGTAGCAAGTTTCTGGCGTATAAAGTACAAAAGTGTGGTTGCGCCTCTTTTGATTGATAGTGATCGTAAAGTACGTATACAGATTGAATATTCACCGGGACAGTATATATTTATATTTCAGGTTTATCTCCCGTGTTCGAATCAAAGCATTGAGAAATATCGTTTGTTTATTGATAAGATGTTTGAATCATTTTACTTGTATGGTGAGAAAGGCTGAACAATCTTTATGGGAGATTTTAATGCTCTATTATCTGGTACAAACTCTCAAACAAGAGATAATTTGTTAAGAAAATTTCTTCATGACTGTAATTTGAGTGCTGTAAATGATTTTACTGGTAAAAACATACATTTGTATCTTTTTGGTTTGGACAAAAAATTAAATGATTGTTTTTGGTGTGTTTTCCCGTCGGTTTGTACTGTTTTTTGTTTTGAAATTTGTGAAATTTTCTGATAAGGTGTTTAGATTTTTTTTAACATGGCCAAATTTTGGGTTTATGTTTAAAATTAAAAAATAAACACGGCACCCCTAAAATTAAAATTGTCAGAAAAATTGGAAAAAATGCACTGATGAAATGTAGCTTAAGTATCAATCGCTGGTATCCGATGACTTTTCCGTAATCTTCCATATAATATATTATCTACAATGATGGATCAAACAGTTCCTGGCCCTATGTACTTCCGGTAGTCGGAGAACCCAGCCAACTAATGGCCTTACTTTTCAATATAATCGCCCTCTCTATCAATGCAATTTGCCCATCTGTGCTCCAACTTGTTTAACCCTTCAAAATAGAACTCTCTATTGGTCTTCAAAGAACTCATTGACCGCCTCCATGACACCTTCATTGCTTTCAAAACGTGTACCACGAAGTTTGGTTTTTCAGTTTCGCAAGTCAGAGTGGGTCAAGCACAGAGAATATGGGGGATGGGGAATAATTTCAAAGCCGCAGTCAGGTGCAGCAGCCATCGCAAATTGGGGTGTGTGAGCTGGCGCATTGTCGTGAAGGAGCGGAACGCCTTTAGCCAGTTTGTCCCTCTTTTACGCGCGATTTTATGACGCAGACATCCCAATTCGTCTGCATAGTGCATACCGTTTATTGTACGACCTTCCACAAGATAGCCAGTCATGATTATTCCCTGCTGATGGCGCCCTTTTGAATTTCTTCGGAGGGGGTGAGCCAGGGTGCTTCCACTGCATGCTCTGTTTTTTGGAGTCTGGGCCGAAGTGATGGAACCATGTTTCATCCTGAGTTACGATCCTGTAGATAAAATCAGGTTCATCCTCGTAGCGAGACAAAATATATATTGAAATGTCAAGGCCGGTCCGTTTCTGGTCGTCAGTCAACTGTCTTGGGACCCATCTAACGGAAACCTTTTATAAGTCATAAACATCAGTCAGAATTGCCTGAAACAAGAAAAAGCTGATACCCACTTCCCTAGCATTGCTTTGCAGGTCTCGCCTTCTGTCGCACATGATCAGATCGTGCACCTTTTCGGCAGTTTCATCGTTGGTGTCCTCTTTTGGCCACCAAGGCCGCTCATCATTTCCAATGCTCTCCCCTGCCTCCCTTAAATTCAGCAGCCCGTTCTTTCACAGTGCTATAGGAAGGAGACTCCTTCATTAGTGTATCCATGAAGTCTTCACGAATTTCCTTTGAGGACATCCTTTTCTTACAGAGGTACTTTATGACAGTTCTGATTTCAACTTTTGCCATTTGGTCTAAATGACACACCCCTCTACTGATCAAAGTGTGCTTTATGTTACTTATTCTGTGAAAAACCGCATGCAACTTGGTCAGTAATCTTTTAAAAGATATCGGTATCGACGTATCGTGTGTAAATGTCAGTGTAGTGGCTAGCAGTACCTGGGTACATTGGGCCGAGAACGTTTTTATCATACCTCGTATATACATGTAATTGTTAACATCACACTATTTCCAATTGTCTTGAATATTTAATGCTCTTAGACAGCCATGGACAAGGCAAAATCTTAACGTAAAATTACATGTTTTTGCAAATCGATGACGAAGCAGAAAATATGATAAACAAGATCAACAAGGAAAGGTTTAATGACCGCAAACCCCATACGACCCTTTTTGTTTTCTTTGAATTCCTTATCAGTTACAAATTAATTATCATTTAGTGATTAACCTTTCCGTGCTCTGTCTTGTGCCCTGTCCTGTTTTTTGTTTCTGGTCCGCCTGGGCTCCTTGCCACTGGTTCTTGTTGCTGGGTCGTGTGGGGGTTGCGTTCGTTGGGCGCCGCCTTTCCTTGTTGATCTTGTTTATCATATTTCAAACTCTATTACCTTTATGTCACTTAATGACAGGTCATGACAGACATTTTATACCAACTATAAATAAAATAAGTTAAACATATATGTTGAATGTTTTATTATTTGTTCCTTGTACCCATTATTTATAATTATTGTGTGAAAAAATGGCTGTTTTCATTAATTAGAATGCCTCGTGTTATAAGTTCAAATTGCTATGTAACTATAAAAAAGGCTTCAACGCCGTTTAAACTTGGCACAAATGTTGACTGGACCAAAGCCTTTGTAACGGCATACTCTGTCTTAAATTTCCTGTTACCAAAGCATCTCAAAATTGCCAAAAAGCACTTTTTTTGCGCTGATTCCTTCAAAACTAATTTCAAAGTGCTGCAACTTCTCAATGGATTCAGATAGAGTCAAAGGCTTTTCAGAATTGATAGGTCGACCTGGGTCATTTTTAGCCTCTCACAAGTCCAAAATATTCTTGGACATAAGGGGCTCTGCCGCCCCCTTCACACCCTCAAACAGAAGAGGGCACATCCCCCTCTGACACCCCCTTGATGTATCTACATTGTATTTGAAAGGGGATGGAGCCGAAAAGTGATCACTTTTTTACACACCACTTTTCTTTTTCATTATTTAAGGCCTAACAAGAATCTGTAACAGAGTTACCAACGTTCCCCGCCTCAAGGAAGTTATATTTGAAGCATTAAATTGTGCTATTTCAAAAGATTGAGGTATGGATCTCAGGACTTTTAGTCCAAAATTATGATTAATGCTAGATCTAAATATGCAACAATAAATTTATCGAAGAAATAAAATGAAACACGAAATCTAAAAACCTATTATGTTCAGCTTTGACCTCTATGTGTAGCATTTACCCTGGAGGTAGGGGTATATGTGATGTACTTGACATATCTTCTTATTAGTGTGACTATTTGTGCCAAACTATTTTAAAATCCCTTGAACTATGAAGAAGTTCTAGATCGTACACAAAGTAAAGCCTATAACCCTATGTTAGTGTTTGATTTTTCTAAGTGTGACCTTAACCTTGGAGGTAGGGATGCAGGTGTTGCGCATGACACATCGTCTTATTATAGTGACTATGTGCGCCAAGTATTTTCAAAATCCTTTGATCTATGAAACAGTTATGGACCGGACACAAAGTATACCCTATAACAGTTGACCTCAAAGTGTGACCTTAACCTTGGAGGCAGGTGACCGGTTGTTGCGCATGACACATCGTCTTATTATTGTGAACAATTGTTGCAGTATTTACAAAATTCTTTCAAAGATAAGAAAGTTATGGACTGGATACGACATATAGCCTATAATAGTTAATGTTGACCTTGAATGAGCAAACGCGACCTTGACCATGGAGGTAGAAGTCTTGTTGTTGCACATGACATATCGTCTTATTATAACACACATTTGTGACAAGTTATTTTAAATGCCTTTGATAAATGACAAAGTTCTGGACCGGACACGAAAGTGTGACGGACAGACGGACGGGGCCTATTTCTATATCTCCCTTTTTCTTCGAAAAGGCGAAGGACAAAAGGGGGTAAAAGCCGTCAAAATACGTCCATATGAAGTTAAGGGTAAAAGTGACTATGTTGGGAAAATAATCGAAGCTAGTTGCGGGCGAGGCCAAAGGCCATAAAATTTAAAATAGACAAATAACTTTATTGCTTTCAGTTTGTTACAGATGCACATCGACAATATCCTTAAAAGTCTTGGTAAGACTGCCCTTTTTTCGTGATTGGCACTTCTAGCGCGCCAAAATATGTCTATTGTCTGTTAATAACGTGGTATCAAGGCCTTATTTGCATGTTTAGTGCAGGATTACGGTACACTACATCGAGTGTATTAACTATGTTACTGTGTCTCTGCGTCTTACTATTGGTAGAAAACCACAGGACCGAACATAGTCAAAAACAATACTTAACTATTTTTTAAAATTATTTTCATGTATGTCTGCTATTGAATAGAATCTTAAAATAGAGAAAATCAGAAACCCTAAAGAAAGCCTAACACGGCAAAATTGAAAATGTTGCAGGCTCGGTTTGATTGAGCCTGTTCATGGACTGTACTGTCAAGTGCAAACTACCGTCCTCGCCCCCTAGCACCGGCTTAAGCAGAATTCAACATTTAACATAAACTGGTATAATTTGAATTTTGAAACATCCACAGATGTGTTCATATGGCGGTTGCCATGGAACCTTCAATGTGACATATAAGTGCCATGACATGAAAAGCGGCATATGGTCCCCAAGTAAAAAATTGCGTGTGCCCTAAACGAGAAAACAATGGGCAAAACTAAATAAAATGGAATTTTGAAAGGGGATCAGAGGTTATGAAGCCTGCATATCACAGATAAGACGTCAAAAGACAAAGTTAAAAAGCAGGCCACATATTCTAAGGGTGATTCAACACTATTTAAGTAGGAATATTGGAACCACCCAACTAGAAAATGCCGTATAAAAACTAAAAATACCACAAGCATAACAAAAAAGTTGTGCTGAACGATCATTAAGGGTCGGAAATATAACAGCTCTGATTGAATGTACAGGGCGACTTTTTACAGCCTCAACACGGCACAAACAACATTGATGTGGCGATAAAATAGAGAAAATAAGAATCCCTAAATTAACTTGACGTTAATTACGCGTGAAAATGTGCGGTTCAAACGTTTTAATTGATTACTGTAGAATATCGAATATCATACTATTCATACAATGAATATATTGAAATTCCTTTTCTTATGAATGGCCTAGTACCACATCTTAATTTTTAGTTTTTAGATCGATTTGAAAAACCCAAGTCCGGGACGACAGAGGAATTCTATGCATAAACATGCATGGAAATAATTCTGGGTTATCGGTATTTGGCGAGATAGGGGGAGGGGAGGGTATCCACAGGCAAAATACACCTGTGTTTTAGCAAGGGATTACCATTCTAATTATGCCCCCATTCGTTTTTATGCGAAAAAAATAACAACTCAGGCATACGGCCTTCGTGGTCAATTTATACGCATCAAACCCCCAAACCGGTGTTCAATAGCCGATAAACACTGCTAAGACCGATATTATTTCGATTCTAACTAATTGGCTACTAATAGGGGGCATACATGTTTTGCAAACATATCTTGTTAATATTGAGTGTCATTCCTAAGCAGTGTTAGAATTTAAATGAAACTATTATAGCATATTTATAGCTGTATGTTTAAATCAAATTAACATTTTTTAAATAACATTTTTCATGTTATATTATATTTATATGTATATCAATTTGCTTCTTCCCTTATTGTTAGGATATAATGTATTACAATCAATGTTGCAATTTCATTGTAATATTATTTTTACTTAATTGCCCACTTATGAAATTATGTATTTTATAATTTTCTTATGGTATAAAAAATGCATACCTAAACTTCATTCAGCATCTTTCGTGCATATAAATAAAGTTGTGTATAGGATTTTGATCTTGCTTTCAAGTTCCCAGCCTTGTCCAAAAAGCACGTTATAATATTTTGTTTCGAACAACCTGACATTTTTGTCGATTTGATGCGGAAAAAAAGCCACTCATGGTCTATTCCTACGCATCAAAACTCCAAACCGATGTTAAAAGCCAATATTGAAATAAATGTGGACGAAAGACAAAAATCGCCTTCAATTCAGTATATAAGACGTTATCCTTCAAGAATGAAAGCAAACTTAATTCATGCAGCATAATGAGGTTTCATGTATTATGTCTAATATTTTAACCAAAGATTTACACAACACTAACGTTTTAACAATTCTTGTTTTATTTTCACATACATGTACCTGTGTTACTGGATATGCACGGTGAAAAAATGTGTTTCAAGTATGTGAAATAGAGAAATAGCATTACCATCTTGTACAATCAGTTTTTTAAACGCATATGTTTGAAGAAAAACATTGCTAAGAAAGTATTAAACGTATGCTTACTTTTCCATTTCGATTCTCCTGCGCTTTTCCGCCTCTGCCTCTGAGTCAAGGTCACTGTAACCAGTGAACCAATTTATCAATTTCATCATTTTTTCTGCGTTAAAAAGGCAGATGATGTACCTGGCAAATAAAACGGTTGTATTAAATTCTGATGTGTTTTCAGCATGTTTATATTCGACAAACATTTTAATTAGGCAGGCTTTAATGTGGAATATTCTACAAAGAACACATTTGCTATAAGCATTCCAAATATTGATATATACTATCTTCGGACAATTGAATTTGGATAAAGTTCCAAGTGATTTAGTACGAACATTTGTATGATGAATAATAATATTTTGTTCTAGAACATTTTATTATCTGCTATATAAATACATGTAATATCAGATTATGTATCACACGCTTGCCAACAACACCCATACACATGTATATATCTTTCGTGGTCTAACCCTAACCCTAACCCTTCTAAATACCATCAACGTAATAATTATTTAAAGACCTTTCATTACAGACAAATTCACATTAAAAACAACCGATTAGAATTTATTATCTTAACAGACCATAGATCTAATCGTAGGATGTCAATTTTATGTTGTACAGGAGTCTACTTCATGTGGCGTATATGCTTGTATCATGTCAAATGGTAACCAATGGGTGGCAATCGCTTAGAAGTTGTGTTTGCCATTACTAATAGATATGTACCAGCACCTGAACACAATCTTGTAAGAGGGACCTTTCCACAACAGACAATGAAGCCCATTCGAAATCTCACGTTTAGATTTTCATGACCACGCCAGTCAAGTATATAACGCAATGAAGGAGAACATGCAGTGCTCAAGAAATCCAATGCTAATATGGTCACCGTGCTAGGGAATCTGAGAGGCAACACAGTGTAGATCATGTAATATTCCACGAGCAATTTAAAGCGCATTTCTGGAGTTGCTGACTAGACACATCTACTGACAGTTTAGTAATATGTTTGTTTGTTTGTTTGTTTTGGGTTTTACGTCACATCGACACAGTAAAGGTCGCGACGTTCCAGCTTTACTGGTGGAGGAAGACCTCAGGTGCCCTTCCGTGCATTATTTCAGGCACGAACGGGTACCTGAGTAGAACCACCGACGTTCCGTAAGCTAGCTGGATAGCTTCCTCACATGAAAGAATCCAAAGTCCCTGTCGGGATTCGAACCCACATAGGTGAGGGGCAAGTGGTTTAGCACCTGTCTGGTAACAGATAGAACGTTGTCTGAAGTTGATTGATGCCATATAATGGGAAAACCAGAAGTGGATAGGCGAAACTATATTCTCGTGAAATAAACAACAATCCATGTGCATAGAAAAATATACATTAAACAAACCGGACACATGGACATTTCGGTTACTGCGATGCGTGTACCTAAAACCCGTCCGCTCGAGACTACGGCACTCTGTCTGAAAGCTAGCCGAAAACAGTTAAGAAATTTTAGACGCTAATTATAATATCAGGCCCTGAAATTAACTTAAGATGGCATCTCCATGGCGTGTCCCTCAATGACCTCGGCCTGTAACGGGACTGACCAAATCTTTGTACATAAATTTTTAAAACTTCCTGCGGGATTTATACAATTCCATACTATTTATTTATCGCGGTGATTATGCAGTATTTATGCTTTGATGTTCCTCAATTGTTATACGCAATTAACATGCTTTATTGACAATTACTCATAACTCAGATAACGTACACTTCTTAAAAAATGTGCGTTATTTCAAATAAAGCAAAGTTATGTAAGTATACATGGTTCATGTATACCTGTGACAGAAGAAAGAAGGTGTCAACTGGACTGAACCAACATTTTGGCCGTAAAAAAAAACGAATTTATTCAGATTGGGGATAGCTTATGGGGTACTAGAGATATTAAACTTTACATGAGTAGCAATGCTTGCAATTTTATTCATTTCAAGTTCCCGAGAAAATAATCGTTTTCATTGAAATAATTTTTAAAAAATCCATCTTTTGGTATGTTTCTTCAAAAGCTGATCCAAGTGCGGATTGCGTAATACTAGCGCGTCACAATTATTAACATCAATGTTTTAATGTGTCTGTGGTCATCCAGCTAATCAGGAACACGCACCATACTTCTCATTGGCTCTTAGGGTTTACAAAACGAAAAGACAAAAATCGTCATTGAAATGTCTTTTCACTTCCAATTGGAGCGTGTACGTCGTTGAGGAAGCACAGGGCATCGGCAGAAGATTTAAAGACTTGGGATGTCGAAAATAAACCAAGTCCAGAACTTGAATGGCAAACCAGCTGCCGGTGTCTTGACACACGCAAAGAGGAGTGGCCCTACGATGTAGGCAGATAGGACGAGTATGGAGTACTGATAGACGGCTTGTAAGACGGACCCATTACTTTGCACCAACAAACCTTTTCAGGACTACCTTCTTTCATTATTGTCTCAGGTTACTGTACATTTAGGTACAATGACCGACGCACAGTGACCTACTTTTGGCTAAAATATCACATCTTTAGCTAATGCTCAGTGAAAATTGCATAGAGGTAAATTATCACAACTTTGGGCTTTAAAATTAACCCTTTCAGTGCATGACTGGTGACATGTACGGGGTCCAATTAACCGAAAGAAAACAAAAAACACACAAAGAAAATAAATGACAGAGTTTCACTAATATGACCTATCTGTACTGTTAAACATCGTAACTTTCTATATATAAATATATTAATCGTCAAAATGGTAAATTTGAGCTTGTTAGGCATCTACATGTCAGTGATTTCAGAACATTTATTTAAAAAAGTGTCTGAAATCATGCACGGAAGGGCACCTGCGGTCTTCCTCCAGGAAAGCTGGAACATCGTCATATGACCTTTACTGTGTCGGTGTGATGAAAACCCAATCAATCAATCAAACACTTTAAAAACATTTCTTGTTTGTGAATATATCAAATTGCCAAAAATCATGGTAAAACCTGGTATCGTACGATATGATGAGGTACAAACCGTTGTCTGATTCCGCTATAAATTTAAAGCTGCATGTCTCCAGATGAGGCAAAAGTTTTCACTTGTATATTAAGTACTAAGATTTTAAGAAAGGCAAACAATAAAATCAAGTAATAAAATACGTGTTATGCGCGATTACTGACTGATTTTACAGTATGTTATCATTATACTACTACTGCGTTATTTAAGTATATTTTGACCTCTCATTTATTGAAATTAAAGAAGGGTCAGACTAACATGTGTCTGAGAAAAACAAATCAAGATATTTTTGCGTTAAACCTGTTCTAAACATCCATTAATTTAAGTATCGACTAGTAACATAAATATGTAAGTACTCACTTTTAATTTAATTATTCCCTAAAATTATTTAAAATTTGAAATAAAATTGTATTCAACTTCTTAAAACTTGACATTTAAACATACAGTAAGATGTGATAGTATGAGTAACAAAATACAGATAATCTATCGCTCAATAGCAATTTTAAAGATAAATCAAAGTTGAAAATGGAAACAAATTCTATAACAGGCGCGTATCTTTAAAAGGGTTAATGGTATAAATTGACAGTTTAACTTCCTCCTTCCTTTTTATCCCGTTTGCTTGGCTCGCATAAGTCAAAAAACTTATCAATTAATTAACTATATACTTCTAAAGATAAATACTAACGAGTGTACTAAACTATATCAGTTTAGGACGTAAAAATATTTTAAACACTGGTTAAATACACTATGGTGGGGGTGGGGTGTGACTCCAATATTGATCTCAAAACTGAGCATCGTTAAAAAATAAATTATGTGAAGTTCCGTTGATCCAGATGTGCATCCTAAGTGAATAAAAGGTTAATTGCGGGGTAATTTTTCTATTATTTTTACCGCGTGACTTACGCAGTAATGTATGTTTTTGAACATTGTTGTAATTTTATTGAATGTAAGTGACGTTTACATTGTTTAAATTACTCGATTGATAACGAGGTAAATATCAATGAATAAATTTTAAAATCAGTTTAATTCCCGTTAAACATGTAGCATGTCCATAGCTTTATTAATTGTCAATTTTCATACAAATCTTAAACTCTGTATTCATTTATATATAGCGGATATTTGTTTGTTTGTGTGTAAGATGAAATTTTATTTCATCAAGTGGGTTTCAAAAAACAGTATTCTCACGAGTGTATTTAACCATCTTACAAAACAAACAAACACATTTTCTTTTTTATTTTATGCTAAAAAACAAGTTAAAACATAATTTCCATAATATCAACGTAAATATTAAAATCTGCTTTCCCCATTGAGCATTAGTCGGATTTTCTCATTAAATACAAGAAGTCTTGCGCTGAAAAATAAGTTCGACAATCAACTTTAAATGACGGTGATATTATTCATGTAATAAAATAATATGAATGATCGCTTGTTTTAATTATAAAAGCAAACCATTCTAGTAGGAGAAAAAGACCATACATCCATCTGTTACTTACTGCGAATTTTAA